ATATATATATATATGTGTGTATCTATATATGTATCTATGTATGTACCCATGGAGAACGCTCCTTTGTAGTCCATCTCAGCCATCGACACATCAGCAGTAGCCGGCTCCATCATGAACACCTTCTCATTGTTGCACAGCTGGAACTCCGTGTTGAGCGAGTAAACCACAGGAACAGGCCTGTTGGTTTGTTGGAAGGCAATCGGCACCAGAAACCTGTGGGAAAAAAATTGTGTTCAAGCTCCTTATGCAGTAAATCACTCTGAAATTAGTTTGGAATCTTGTTGGATTTAAATAAAAGAACTAATTTGAGAAACTGTCAGCGGTAAATCTCTGCAGCTGTTGGTCGTACTTCTCTGGAGCGTGAGCTGTGCAGGACAGCTGTTTGTCGCCGGGATCGATCCACGGCTGAGTTGGCTGAACAGTGCAGGGGACCAAGAAGACTGTGTACTCTCCAGAATAGTCCTTCCTGTTCAAGAAAACACAAAATGATTACTATCACACACTCATCATTATGGGAGGTCAACACAACCTGAGCCTATAGGCTGGTTATGAATGAATGTACTGACCTGCTGTAGGAGCTGGTAGCCCTCCACAGCTGGTACGGTGAGTCAAAGGTTTGAGCGCTCCACAGCAGCTGGATGTCAAACTCGATGCCTCCGAGGTGGTCGGGGGCCATGAGGCGGGACTTGTGGCCCGGCAGGGTGTGGTGCTCGAGCACAAACTGACCTGGAGGGAGAATAACAGCAGGGGGTCAAACTCAAGACTGTTTGATTTTTAGTGTAAAAAAAAAAAAAGAAAGAAGAAGAATATATCCTGCATCCTATTTTTGCACACCTCATAAGACTTTGTGGTCTAAAGGCACCGTAATACCATTTGAACAGGCACAGTAAAGCCCTCTGAATGCAGTTCTACAAACACGGCGAAAACCTGAAGCTAAATTTAAAAATAACAAATGTTCGTGTAGAACTGTGGGATAAAACTGAAAACCTTAAATTGTCAGTTTAATTTCCTCTCTCTGTGGCCTCCTCATTGCTGTAATAAAAGATGGATTTACATCGATTCACCTCGATCACAGACTGCTCTCTCATTAGCTTCCATTTCTTGTATCAATAATAATATTAAGGCAGACATAATAATTCTATGCGGTGCTCTTAGAATGTGTGTTTGTGGACTGACCTCTGAATTTGGCGTGAGTTTTAAACTCAATTACCAGCCGACCGTCTTCCCTGATATAGATCCTGATGATCTGCAGTCTGGCTGAGAGGACGCTGTCAGTCTGGATACCTGCAGACATGAAAAGCCAAAGAAAACCTAAATTAGAGCAGAAGTACATCACTAATAATTTCTTGAATAAGAACTTGGATACTTGGAAACAGTCTTAAATCTTAAATGATTTATTTCTACAATGCATTTTCATCATTATCCCATTTACGCTGCACAATGAAAGCAAAACTACAACGTGAAACCAAAACACATCCCGCAATATGTTCACATCCAGGATTGTAGACATTAATAAGGTGTGCAGAGTTCATAAACATAAACTCCTGACCTGTCCTCCAGAGCACCGTGTCATAGAAGAAAGAGAACTCCATCTCGGTGTGATGCTCAAGAGACGCCCAGCCTCTCGGGGCTGTGACGTAGATGTAGGAGACATAGAGAGGAACCTGCACCGTCAGGAAGGACTGAGCAGAGTCCCGAACCTGGAAGAATAGCAGAGGGTCACAGAGAACTTTATTCTGTTTGTGAGGACTTTAAAACAGTACAGAGCATTATTTCACCATCAAATAGATGCACTATGATTACATGATGGACGTCCACATCCCAACACAGTCACGGCCCAGGTTCTGTTTCTGGGGCTGTCTACATGTACCCTATCCTGCAATCACTCCTGTGCATATTTTAGACCTTTCTCATGTCAAAAGCCTTTATCTGTGCCTCCTCATCTCCTCTGTTCTCCCGCCTGTAACCTGAAAATCAATCAGTCCGACGTTGAGGACTGAGGAGAAACATAAACCCATCGAAGTGTTTTAACCTGCATTTGTGCACACAGAGACTTCTTTAAATCTTTTAATAGTATGAACTGTAAATGATAATATTCAATGTGTTTGCAGTTTTATGTTGAGGAAATTATGAAAATTGTTCCACAGTTTTTTGGGAGGTTTTTTTTTTGCAGATTGTTGAACCTCTGCCCATCTTTACTCATTAGAAACTTCCTGTGATGTTCTTTTTACACCCAGTCTGTTACTGAGATGTTGCCAGCAAACCAAAATCACTTCCCAGCCTTCTGTTGCTCCTGTCTCAACTTTTTCGAGGTGTGTTGCTGCCATCAAAATCAAAATGAGCTAAAGTTTTCCATAAAGTAGTGAAATGTGTCGATTTAAACATGCGGTGTGTTTTCTATGTTTTATTGAGAATAATATGGGTTTAAACAGTCAAGAATGCACAGGTGTGTGCTCTGCAGGGGTGTTTTTCCATTTAAATATAAAAACCAAACTACACCTGCACTGGCAGCTGTGCGAAATGTCATAGGTTACTGAAAACGAAGCTCCTAAGCAACAATTTCTCATTTAAGTAAATGCACGTTGCATTCTCTCCTCGTATCGCTTGCTCGCCTCCTTCACTTGGGTCTCTGGAGGGAAGGACTAAGACGTGAGGAGAGAAGTCGATGATGTGCAGTCTGGGGATAGTTTTGTCTTTCCTTAGTCAAGACATCTGTTTTCTGCTCCCAGTGGTCTTCTTGTACTC